AGCCTCGACAGAACTGAGACTATCCGTAAAAATAAAGTAGTGGTGTGGAAGAAGTGAAGCAATAGTTTCCAAAGTGTAGTGAATTGCTGCCAGTTCAGCCACATACACAGAACAAGGAGCTTCAAATTTTCGAGAGGCGCTATGAAATTCATTAAATACACCAAAACCAGCGGACTCCTCTATTAGAGATCCATCTGTGAAAAACGTTCTTGCAGAATCAACATGGCCAAACTTTGCAGCGTATAATGACGGAGCAATCATAGGACGATGATGCTCTGGAATTCCGCGGATTTCCTGTGACATAGATAAATCAAAATTCACTGAATTGCCGAAATCGGAGAAGACTACACGATTGGGAATATTTCTGGAAGGGCTGACATCCTGTGTTAAATATAGGTAGTACAAAGTCATCAAACATGTTTGAGGATTTAGCTCCAGAAGCTTCTCAAAATTTGCAATCACCAGTGGGTTCATTACTTCGCAACGGGTGAGGAGCCTCAGAGATAACTCTGAAAAACGGACGGATAGTGGCAACATGCCCGCCAGCACTTCGAGACTCATAGTATGAGTCGAGTGCATGCATCCTAACGCGATACGAAGACAACGATACTGGATCCGTTCTAGCTTGATGATGTGCGTTTTAGCTGCTGACTGGAAACAGAAACTACCATATTCTAGAACCGATAAAATTGTTGTCCGGTACAACGTCAGAAGATCTTGTGGATGGGCTCCCCACGACGTTCCGGTAATTGATCGAAGGAAATTGATCCTTAGTTGGAATTTTCGTCTCAGATACTCAAGGTGGGATCTCCAGGTGCATTTGGAATCGAACCAGACCCCGAGATATTTAAAAGACATGGAATGAGTGATCGGTTTACCCAAAAGTTGAAGCTTCGGTTGTGCTGGGCTATGCTTCCTAGAAAAAACGACCAACTCAGTTTTCTCCGTGGAGAATTCGATACCTAGCTGAATAGCCCAAGTAGACAAATTGTCCAAGGTATCCTGTAAGGGTCCTTGCAGGTCAACCTCTTTTGGCCCTGTGATAGACACTACGCCATCATCTGCAAGTTGTCTCAACGTGCAATTGTCACTAAGACAATTGTCAATTTCTCTAACGTAGAAATTGTACAAAAGGGGGCTTAAACATGAGCCTTGGGGGAGACCCATGTAGCTAAATCGAAAAGCTGTAGAGTTTCCATGAGAAAAGCTCATATGTTTTTCTGACAGCAAATTGTACAAAAAATTATTCATTAATGGAGACAATCCACAAGCGTGGAGTTTCTCTGAAAGAACTTCAACGGATACTGAATTAAAAGCCCCCTTGATATCCAAGAACACAGAAGCCATTTGCTCTTTCTTAGCAAAAGCCAACTGAATTTCCGAGGAAAGCAACGCGAGACAGTCGTTCGTTCCCTTACCCCTACGGAAACCAAATTGAGTATCTGAAAGAAGGTGGTTCGTCTCAACCCATTTGTCGAGGCGAAAAAGGATCATTTTCTCCATCAATTTCCGAATACACGACAGCATCGCGATTGGCCGATACGAATTGTGATCCGACGCGGGTTTATCAGGCTTTTTAATGGCTATCACCCTTACTCGTCTCCAATCGTCGGGAACAATATTGAGCTCCAAGAACTGATTGTACAAGTTCAACATGCGCCTCTTAGCGACGTCTGGGAGGTTTTTCAGCAAGTTGAACTTGATTCTATCAGATCCCAGGGCAGAATTGCCACACGAAAGGAGAGCGAGTGAAAGTTCCACCATTGAAAAAGGCTGACTGATTTCGTCTACCGAATTCGCGGTTTCGCGAGGAATCAACTGCGACGGCACGGAATCCGGACACACTTTTCGCGCGAATTTAAGAATCCATTGATCCGAGCATTCCTCGCTTTCGTTGTTAGTAGACCGGTTACGCATTCTTCGCGCCGTACTCCAAAGCGTATTCATAGACGTTTCGCGCGACAATCCGTCTACAAACTGCCGCCAGTAACCCCGGTCGGGGGGTTGTTGAGGCCAGATGTTGAAGCGACTGGAGCAGGACGAGCAGAAGTAGCAGGAGCGGTGGAAGCAACAAAAGCGGTGGACGCAGCAGTATTAATGGTAGTGGCAGTATCAGTGGTAACAGCAGTTTCAGTAGCAGTGATAGGAGCAGCAGAGTCAGTGGTGGCACCAGTAACAGTAGTAGTAGTTACACCAGTACTAGTTGTAGCACGAGTAGCATTGATGACATTAGAAATAGCAGTGGCAGCATAAATTGTTGTAGTCATGGCTTTCAAGCCCCTAGTAACGGTAGCTTCAGTGATCGTTCGAGTTCAACTTCATCTATGAAAAACTCAACGGAGCCGAGTGATGGAAAATTGAATCCTCTGGATTATGCATAAGGGCATGCAGAATAGATTCATCAGACTTGAACTTAAGGAGTTACATATATGTAAAATCGACAAAAATTCAATTTTTCAAACATGGTCGAGTCCGATTCGTATTAGTAAACACGTATTCGTAACTGATGTTCGTTGACCAGATTTTGTTCCACGCGTAAAGCGAACTGTAAAACTTGCAAAGCGTTTTTCTCGAAACACAGAGTTGATTTACGGGTCCCACGATATCTCAGGACTGGATAGACCAAATTGGCTGAAAGTGTGAAGACTCACAAGATGTATCCCGTATGCATGACGAAACTGAATTTTGTAATTGATTTTTTTAGCGTTAGTGTTGTTATGATATACTTCGTAGCTTGGATACTAGCGACACTCACGTCTCTTCTGAAATTCTCAGTTAGACTACTTTCAGGAATAATGCTGGGGAGTAAACATTGGTTCCAATCTAAACAAGAGTAACAGAAGCATGACTGTCGCTATTCCCGGCCACGCCCATCTTTACCATAACTAGGGATAGGGAAGGAAATGTTGATGTAGTACATACTTAACGAGAGGCCACCGACTTAGCGACACCCTCATAAGTGCAACGGAGTTGGAGGGTTGGGTAGAGTATTCGGTTAGGATTCACCTCAAGTTGGCGATGCAACCAAAAGTATATATTGTTTATCTGTTGCTTATTTAATCTCTCGATAGCCGGCTATCGAAAGAACATATTCATTTTGTTTAGTGATCATGAATTTTAAGAGTCATGACGGAGAGCTTGGGATTAAACCCATGATTTTCTGCTCAGTAAGCAAAAACGATCCCTCCAGGGTCATCGAGCATCTCATAACCATAACACTTCGCGACAAAACACGACTTCCTTTTGCGCTTGATATGCAAATATTTTCCGAGGTTAATGTTCAATATCAAATATACAAATGATGGTGGCGATTTATTGTGCTGTGGAAGAGCTTGGGGTTAAGTCCATGATTTTCTGCTCAGTAAGCAAAATCGATCCCTCTAAGGTCATCGAGCATCTCATAATCCACAGCGCTTCGTGTCAAAGTACGAATATATGGATGAACTATCTATTATTGAATAACAATTATTTACGATAATTACATGAAAGAAATAAAATATAAACTACAAACAAAACATGACTACTAAAATCTCAAAAAGATATTCAAACAAATATATTTCACGCAACCATAAAAGACGCTATAATGATGCTCTGCACATGTTAGACACAAGAAGAAGCCAAAAAGAAAGCGTACACTTTTACTGCCTATCTTTCTATTAGGCCTGTGGACATGCGTTAGCTTCAAAACTTCTAACCAAACTGGGAAAATTTTCAGATCACAATAAAAAACTTGGAAAAAACTTTCATCAAAAGGTAATTGCAAGTAAAATAAATATTGATTATTTTGCGCAAAAACGAGCAAGTAATATAAAATCTTTTGTATCGTATGCTAATGCAAATTGACTGTTACAAAAATAATATGCTTAAATAAAATAAAATATTAATAAAATTATATGCAAAATTTACTAGAAGATCATTACTTTATTGGTGAGAAGTTTCTAATAAACCCTCCCAGTTCCTCTGCATACAGAACAAATCTGATACTATAATCAGAATTGCTCAGTCTGCATGAAGCAGCCGATTTCATCAAGGAAGTTCTATTAACAACCAAGAATTAATCGTTTGAGGCATACTGAAGCATAAAGAAGATGATATGTGTCACTATAGGAAATCATCATCGTTGCAAATATAAAGAAATTAAACATAAACCTTTGCTTCAGTATCGTCAACCTCCATGTCCATGGGGAGGGATTTTGAAATTATTTTTTTTTAATTATAAAAAATAAAAAAACTGAATTTTTTAAATCTACTTTTCAAAAATCGGACTTCGTCATGCATACGGGATTTTTTAAACAAGTCTTCACTCCAAAAAAAAGCCGATTCGGTCAACGCAGTGATGAGATATCGTGGGACCTGTTTTTTTCACAACACTAACTTCAAATAAGAATATCTCAGCAATTGTGTTACTCTTACAGTTGAAAAAGTATATTAGTATACTTTGTTTTCAAGTTCATTTTTTTTTTTACATTTGTGCTGATACCAATTCCCTTAATCTAAAGTGTCCTCTGCTTCAAAATCCCGCAAAATGAATGAATTGATATCTGCAAGCACCACCTGGGCAAAATCTAATGATCACTGTCCGATGATATAGACCACGTAGTGAAATAGCACAGCGAACCTAAGGATAATGGTCACCAGTAACAATTTACAAAACACACAACACTCGCTACTGATGATGAAAAGCACATTGAAAAGAGTGAAAACTCCAACAGCACTACCCAACAAACAATTTTAGCTGCAGCTTAGCTTATACAGGCAAAAATTAGCTGCATAAGGCAAATTTTAGCTGTATAAGCTAATCTGCAGCTAAAATTGTTTGTTGGGTAATACATTCGCATTAGCAAGTGAAGCAGCATGTCAGTGATGGTCACTGCTGGAATGTTTTTTATTAATTACACGAGCATATAATTATATATATTACAGACAATACGGTTAAGTTTAAATTCCATTGCTTTTCTAATCGTATTTATTTTCAAACAAATTAAAATCATCTCAAATATCAGTCTGGAAAAGTGCTCTAACTTTGTACTAGCAAGATAAACCTCTCAGTAAACCTAATATCTTATCCTATTCTTATACTGCAACTGTGCAATCTCCCGCGATTGCTTCGGCCGTCCCAGGTGAACCGCGACCAGCCGTTCTCCAGCTTTCAAAGGCATGGATGCTTCCTCCTCGAAGATCACATCCCGTATCTTATCCAGAACCTTACTATCCAGATTTAGTCCCTCGGAAGATTTCAGTCCCAGCAGTACCCGCTCATATTTCCCATACCGGTCCTCCTCCGTTTCGAGATTGTACGTTCGAGGCACGCCACTGTAGCCTTGACCCAGTGTCACTGCCGCGAACAGAAGCACCTACAGAAAACGGATGAAAACAGAAAAAAAACATCAATATTGCATGATACATCAACCAACCAATTGACCAAATCGATAATAGTGAGGGGTTTTTGATGGGACTGATTGACCTTCCTCGGGACTTACCGCAATGCTTGATAGCCGTCTCATGGCTTGTGATGGAAGCTCGTATATGCTCACACGTCCCGTCCACGCGACTGACTCGCGACCGTTCCGTTTGCAGCAAAGATCTAAATGGCCGCGCAGTAGTATCACATATTCGCTTTTATATCGACGGTGCCGGTGCAGTAAACAACCGGTGTGTGGTTGAAAAATAACCTCACAAAAGTATCATCTTTGGCCACAAAGCAAGCGAAAATGCCACTCACCCTGCGAATGCGAAACCTACTACCAACCTACATATCAGACGGTGTGCTAAGCACCAGGGTGTTGATGATTACAGCAGCAGCTGAAGCCCCTGCTGCTGCGGTTCGAGTGTTTACACATCCACGATACAATAAAATTAATACAAATGGAGGAAAAAAAAAGTTTCCCAATGTCATACTTTTACCAACCAACCATCAGAGGCCACCAGAAGGAGATTGTCGTGCGACAGGGAGACCCACTTCATCACCACTTGTTAAGCCATTCAGAGTTTAATAGCAAAGACTCATCTAACGCGTGGGTAACAGCTTGACTGATAATTATTCCGCTACAAAAATGAGTATGGCCTAGAGGTCCACTTGTGACGAGATTGATGTAGGAATAGACCCTCCGGCGGCACGTAGCGTTCGTAGGATTAATGAGCAGAAGTAAATTCGGTCGGTCATTGTGATTATCACACTGTGTAAGCAAGCTGGAATTGGCAGTTATCGCAGATTTAATTCGTCAACACAGTCGAATGGATTAAGGTGCGTGAGTCGATCAGAGTTTTATAAATCAAATTATAAGTGATAACAAAAAAAATTAGAAGCCGCGGCCTTTTAAGCGCTAGTAGTAGGGCTCATAGGAGTGTTAAAACAAAATTTATGGAATATTCCTAGATTTAACTGAAATAATGACTTAGGAGCTGTTCATCACACTGGTGCAAATTTTTGCTTTAGTGGTCAAACAATTTTGAATCGGGTCCTGACCATCCTCCCAGAATATGAACTCATTTGATAGAAAACGGATATAGCACAAACCATATGAACCATATGAGGAAATTACCATGGGAAAACCAAAATTTTAGTAGTGGTTAGCATGATTGCCTCTCACCCCAAAGGCCCTGGGTTCAATCCCAGTCGGCACCACCGGGATTTTCTGAGGCATAAAATCTCTGATCACGCCTTCCTAGTAATTAAAACCGTTGGTCCCCGGTCCATGAGATCGATAGGTAGGGTCCAGGTGTGGGTGCTGCCTCCCTGTCATCGGTATTGGTCATTGGTACTTATTACGGGAAACAAGATCCATGGAAACAAATCAAGGAAAAAAAAAATCTTCCTAACCTTTCTCCATAGTGCTACATAACCGTGTTTACGGTCCCATAATTGCTATCGCTCGAGATTTCAAAAACCCTTCCTGCTAGAAGGAACTTTATTGCTCTCTAGCTCGTACCATACTTGAGAATGCAACTGTCGTTTGGTCTCCAGTGTGGACTCTTCAAGTAGAACGTGTTTAGAAAATAGTTTTGAGCGTGGCTTTGCGCAACCTACCGTGGAACGATCCGGCAAATATACAACCTTATCCTAACCGATGGTTGCTTTTGAATCTGGACACACTGGATCACAGAAGAAAAATGCAGTAATCTGTATTTATAGCGAAACTTTTAAACGGTGATGTGAACCGTCCACAATTGCTTGCTCAGTTCAACTTCCATGTTTCTCAGAAGACGTTGCGGCAATCACCTCTACTTCAACCATATATATACCGGACTGCATATGGGTACCATGAGCCAATGTATGTGATGATTCAGACATTTTCTGCAGTGGAATCAGGATTTGAATTTGGCGAAACATCAGACCAATTTCGCAACCGATTGAGAGGATTGAGACTACTGTAAAATTCTGCTTCTTTGTAGCATTATTTGATTTTTTTCTAAAAAATCTCATTAAATTACATTATAAATACATGAATCAATATGATTTTATAAAATAAAATGAAATGTGGGTCTAGAATCCCTCAAAAGTTTTCAATTTTATTTATGGTCAACCCTTTGAAATAGTTTTAAATGAACAATTTGTTAAGAAATTTTTGTTGTGGGTAGATCACCTCTTGATGAAGCGTTACGATATGAGATCTATTAAATACTCAACAGGATGATGTCTCTGCCCTAGCTTATTTAAAAAATATATCGCTTTTTTATCCATAAAATAACACATTTTTGAGAACAAATTACTTGAATGGCGGCCAACGGCGGCAAACCGTGTCAGATTGAACCACGTGGATCTGAAATTAAATGATAAATACTACAAAATGGAAATGGTTTCATTTGTCTCTAGTTGTGTCCAACGACAGGAAATACAAAATTAAAAAAGTACGTAAGATGTCCATTAAGGTGCTTCATTTTGAAGTAAAAAAATTGCAATCTTATCGGCAAGTGTAATTCACAACCCCAAAATGTGGGTCTCTTCAAAAACGGTCAATATTGATGAAGAGCTAGAGGTCGTGCAATTTCATCAATCAATTTAAATTGGATGTATCAATTTCAAGAAACTTTCCCGACACCCGACACCATATACTTAAATAAAATTTTCCAACTTAAATCTCAAACGATCACATTTTTTTGTTGACCAATAAGTGTCTAAAATACACGGTATCTCAAAAAATTCAGACAACAAAAAAATGTTGATTTGGATTGAATTTTGACCGCATTCGAATTGGATTTGGATTGGATTTGCATTTTATTTGAATTGGATTTGGATTGATTTGTATTGTGTTAAGATTTCATTTGCATTGGATTCGGATTGGATTTGGATTGGATTTGGATTGGATTTGGATTGGATTTGGATTGGATTTGGATTGGATTTGGATTGGATTTGGATTGGATTTGGATTGGATTTGGATTGGATTTGGATTGGAATTGGATTTGGATTGGATTTGGATTGGATTTGGATTGGATTTGGATTGGATTTGGATTGGATTTGGATTGGATTTGGATTGGATTTGGATTGGATTTGGATTGGATTTGGATTGGATTTGGATTGGATTTGGATTGGATTTGGATTGGATTTGGATTGGATTTGGATTGGATTTGGATTGGATTTGGATTGGATTTGGATTGGATTTGGATTGGATTTGGATTGGATTTGGATTGGATTTGGATTGGATTTGGATTGGATTTGGATTGGATTTGGATTGGATTTGGATTGGATTTGGATTGGATTTGGATTGGATTTGGATTGGATTTGGATTGGATTTGGATTGGATTTGGATTGGATTTGGATTGGATTTGGATTGGATTTGGATTGGATTTGGATTGGATTTGGATTGGATTTGGATTGGATTTGGATTGGATTTGGATTGGATTTGGATTGGATTTGGATTGGATTTGGATTGGATTTGGATTGGATTTGGATTGGATTTGGATTGGATTTGGATTGGATTTGGATTGGATTTGGATTGGATTTGGATTGGATTTGGATTGGATTTGGATTGGATTTGGATTGGATTTGGATTGGATTTGGATTGGATTTGGATTGGATTTGGATTGGATTTGGATTGGATTTGGATTGGATTTGGATTGGATTTGGATTGGATTTGGATTGGATTTGGATTGGATTTGGATTGGATTTGGATTGGATTTGGATTGGATTTGGATTGGATTTGGATTGGATTTGGATTGGATTTGGATTGGATTTGGATTGGATTTGGATTGGATTTGGATTGGATTTGGATTGGATTTGGTGTGGAGATGGATATGGATTGGATTTGGGTTGGATTTGTACAGAACATGGAAAACTTCACCACATTGACAAGACTCGAATATTTGAACAAGGCTGACAGTATTTTGAAATTTAAATTCAGTAAAAATAAACAGCTTTTGAAATGAGAGTCAAAGTTTTACCGCAGCTGTTGAAAGTTTGCTTTCAAATTACCGAAGTCGGTAGTTATTTCTAAATGTGTAGACTGGTTCATTTCCGAGGAAAAAATTAAGTTCAGGCTCAACCTTATCCGATTTGTCTGAAAGTTGGCACATTTATTTTTTCTTATGGGCTCTCATACACAGTTTTGCTAAAATTCAGATACTATGCATCTTGCACAAACATTCTAAATGGTATTTTCAATATTTTTTCAATAAATCTTGAAACATTATAAAGTTTTAGAAAAAGTTAAAGAAACACAAATTCTTTCTATGAAACATATACAATGTGGAAAACAAATTTGTAATTTAAGATACTAATGGATTGCCCAGAAAACCACAAATCGTATTAGGGTGTTCGCTTAAAATCTTATAAATATCCAAATCAAGTTGAAGTTGCATAAGATGCAATTCCAAATTGGTTGAAATTGTTTAAGATGAAAAATTATGATTTAATTATAATCCTCTATGCGAGATTATCTATGAGTTCGTTTGATGTCAACAAGGAATTATTTAACGCGTTCTTTGCTGATCTTATATATGTGTACATAAGATAAGTTTCAATCATATAATTAGTTTTCAAAACAAAATATTGGACCATAAGAGAGTAGGCTGTGCGTGTGTTCGAAACTGACGTTTGTTTTCTTCAGTGGTGTTTTTATCTATAATCGGTTGCTGATCTGGCCATAACCAGGCCCAGGAGACAATTTCTAGGTCCCTAGTATTTTCCGCTGAGAAGCTGTTCCGAATCTAAGTAGAACCTCCACGAGGCGTTCCATCATTCGTCCCATCATTAGTTCCAACATTCGTTGAGTCACAGCGTTGAACCTGAGTATTGGCCACGAAAAGGCTTGTCAATGCACGTCAAAAATCGACTATTTACATCCGAACATTTGTTTATCTCAAATCGAAGGAAGACATTTCGCGCAACTACCATAATCTTTATCTTTTCAAACCAGTAACGTTGGGAGATCACCTTTTTGTGGTGCGTTACTGATATAAGGTCTACCACCCAACCCCAGTCATGACAACTTCAAACTAGGGAATCAGGATTTTCCAGTAATCAAAGGATCACCTTTTAGTCCGTGTTACTTTTTATGACTCGATAATAGTGACAAGACTCGGGTTCTGTATTTCTATATTGTATATTTCAAATAAAAAATATTGTTTATGTTC